GCAACCCTCGACCCCACTGTGTATATGGTCACGTAATACAGGCAACCCTCGACCACACTGTGTATGTGGTCACGTAATACTGGCAACCCTCGACCACACTGTGTATGTGGTCACGTAATACAGGCAACCCGCAACCCTCGACCACACTGTGTATATGGTCACGTAATACAGGCAACCCTCGACCACACTGTGTATGTAGTCACGTAATACAGGCAACCCGCAACCCTCGACCACACTGTGTATATGGTCACGTAATACAGGCAACCCTCGACCACACTGTGTATGTAGTCACGTAATACAGGCAACCCTCGACCACCCTGTGTATGTAGTCACGTAATACAGGCAACCCTCGACCACACTTTGTATGTTGTCACGATATACAGGCAACCCTCGACCACACTGTGTATGTAGTCACGTAATACAGGCAACCCTCGACCACACTGCGTATGTAGTCACGTAATACAGGCAACCCTCGACCACACTGCGTATGTAGTCACGTAATACATGCAACCCTCGACCACACTGCGTATGTAGTCACGTAATACAGGCAACCCTCGACCACACTGCGTATGTAGTCACGTAATACAGGCAACCCTCGACCACACTGCAACCCTGTGTATGTAGTCACGTAATACAGGCAACCCTCGACCACACTGTGTATGTGGTCACGTAATACAGGCAACCCTCGACCACACTGTGTATGTGGTCACGTAATACAGGCAACCCTCGACCACTGTGTATGTGGTCACGTAATACAGGCAACCCTCGACCACACTGTGTATGTGGTCACGTAATACAGGCAACCCTCGACCACACTGTGTATGTGGTCACGTAATACAGGCAACCCTCGACCACACTGTGTATGTGGTCACGTAATACAGGCAACCCTCGACCACACTGTGTATGTGGTCACGTAATACAGGCAACCCTCGACCACACTGTGTATGTAGTCACGTAATACAGGCAACCCTCGACCACACTGTGTATGTGGTCACGTAATACAGGCAACCCTCGACCACACTGTGTATGTGGTCACGTAATACAGGCAACCCCGACCACCACTGTGTATGTGGTCACGTAATACAGGCAGCCCTCGACCACACTTTGTATGTTGTCACGATATACAGGCAACCCTCGACCACACTGTGTATGTGGTCACGTAATACAGGCAACCCTCGACCACACTGTGTATGTAGTCACGTAATACAGGCAACCCTCGACCACACTGTGTATGTGGTCACGTAATACAGGCAACCCTCGACCACCCTGTGTATGTGGTCACGTAATACTGGCAGCCCTCGACCACACTTTGTATGTTGTCACGATATACAGGCAACCCTCGACCACACTGTGTATGTGGTCACGTATCACAGGCAACCCTCGACCACACTGTGTATGTGGTCACGTAATACAGGCAACCCTCGACCACACTGTGTATGTGGTCACGTAATACAGGCAACCCTCGACCACACTGTGTATGTGGTGTGTATGTATGGTCACGTAATACAGGCAACCCTCGACCACCTGTGTATGTGTCATGTAGGCAACCCTCACGTGTAATGTGGTACATACAGGCAACCCTCGACCACACTGTATGTATGTAATTGGTCGACGTAATGTGTATGGTCACGTATACAGGCCCTCGACCACACTGTGTATGTGGTCACGTAATACAGGCAACCCTCGACCACACTGTGTATGTACGTCACGTAATACACAGGCAACCCTCGACCCACACTGTGTATGTGGTCACGTAATACAGGCAACCCTCGACCACACTGTGTATGTGGTCACGTAATACTGGCAGCCCTCGACCACACTTCTTTGTATGTTGTCACGATATACAGGCACCCTCGACCACACCCTCGACCAACGACTGTGTATGTCACGTACAGGCACCCTCGTAATACAGGCAACCCTCGACCACACTGTGTATGTAGTCACGTAATACAGGCAACCCTCGACCACACTGTGTATGTGGTCACGTAATACAGGCAACCCTCGACCACACTGTGTATGTGGTCACGTAATACAGGCAACCCTCGACCACACTGTGTATGTGGTCCAACCCTCGACCACACTGTGTATGTGGTCACGTAATACAGGCAACCCTCGACCACACTGTGTATGTATGTGTAATCACGTAATACCGGTGGCCCTCGACCTCACTGTGTATGTGGTCACGTAATACAGGCAACCCCTCGACCACACTGTGTGTCATGTACAGGCAAGACCACACTGTGTATGGTCACGTAATACAGGCAACCCTCGACCACACTGTGTATGTGGTCACGTAATACAGGCAACCCTCGACCACCCTGTGTATGTGGTCACGTAATACTGGCAACCCTCGACCACACTTTGTATGTTGTCACGATATACAGGCACCCCTCGACCACACTGTGTATGTGGTCACGTAATACAGGCAACCCTCGACCACACTGTGTATATGGTCACGATATACAGGCAACTCTCGACCACACTGTGTATGTGAAACGGGCGTGCATGCGGGTAATCAACCCAAATTTATAATTATAATGACAAATGGCGATATCATAATCGTCTTGGTACAATTGTAATTATATTTATATACTCTATTGTCCACTGACAAAAACACATTATTTTGCGGATTTACTTAACGGAGTTTGAAATTAGCTGGCATTCTATCACAACAAAGGATTGGTATCAATATACGATTGAACAAAACACAACACAGATATATATAACTGGCGCAATTGGAAATTCAATCTGAACACACATACATTCACATTGAATTTTCAGTTGTACCAGTGCCAAGCTTTCGGGGAACCTTACACGATGGTACTCAAATATGACGGCTGGAGTCGGGCTCTATGCAACAAGTTCTGCAAGACATGGCCCCTGTCCCTACAACCACCCAAATATATTTCATTGTGTGTATTTGCCCATTCTTACAATCCAGAGACATTTTCAGTGTGTATTCACTGTGTCTTCTTTTGTTTCATATGAAGTCAAGATGACATAGGTGGACAAACTAGAGAGCATGTGGAATGGTAATGCAACACTTGGCGAGACTGTTTATGTCTGATTAACTGGAAGCAAAATATAAAACATCTCTTACATATTACTGAACGTATGAATTGTTCCAGTGACAAGAACTAATACGGACTCGCTGGCCCCAGTGACTGACGTCACTGAGCGTTCTTTCGTGTGAATGTTATAGGCAAGTTTCCCAAATGACGTCATAGGTTATTGTCCTGGCACACACCTTCGTTCTGTAGTTATAGTGATAAACGATGAAATACACATGTGAGACAATGTCCACATGGAGTGTTGGTTTTCTGGCAGACAAAACCTCACTATGTTTCATTGAAATTTTGCGAATTGTAACTTTGGCTCAGACAATTTTGGATCAGAAACTTAGCTGACCGTCAATACGAACACGAACTAACTTCATATATTTCTATTATCGCTGTGGGATTGGTCGTAGAAGTATTTGTTTTTTTATGTATAACATTGTATGCAATGTTTATGTTTTGTGAAACGTTAATAAGATTTTCTTCTTCTTACTCAACTTGTATTTTTGCTCGTTCAAACTAGCTCGGACAATTTGCCCTTCGTGTGCTAGATGTCCTCATCGCGAACTACGTTCTAACAAAAACATGACAGGAACTGATTACATGTCGTTTTCAACGTCTATTAACAAAATATCAGCTTTTATTCTTCAATATATTACTAAAAATCAAATAACTATGTCTGGCTAAGTCATATTAAACATATTCTCTGTAAGTGCGGATTGCCTGATGTTTTTGTCAACCCACATCTATACTCAAATTCATGAATCATTTCAAATGTTGAATCAAATTTTAAAAGACCAATTTTACAATCATGGACGAGCGATATGCCAAATTGCCCTAAAGGAATATATTATAAAGTTCTGAAGCGCTCTCCCAAATTTGAACAATACCTACCTCTCTCAGATGATATATAGTTTCTAAACCGATCCTAAAATTTAGAACATGCGACCATAAACTTCCCATAGAAACTGGGAGATGTCAAAATACCCCTAAAGAATTCAGATTTTGTAACTTATGTGATTCAAATTTGATTGGAGATGAGTTTCACTATTTATTTAAATGTAATTATTTCGCAAACATATGTTAATCATTGTTAAAAGAACCTTATTGTTCCTGGCCGAATTTGTCAAAGTACCGTCAACTTTTTTCAAGTAAATATCTACGCTTAAAAATGTATCCAAGTTCATTAGTATTGTTTGTAAACAGTTTAATTGATGCATCATTTAGTCGTCTTGCTGTACATTTTGTATGTAGTCCTTTGTTATACTCATGTACCACCGATGGTGAATTAATTTGAGAAATAAACGAGGATGATGATGGACGACTATTAGCAATATTATAGCACTAACAGTGACGTGCACAAAGAAAACCTTTGATCGATGAGCGTCAATCCACCCCGCTGTGTGACATGACCGTCAAGTTTTATCTCTCTTCAACTGTATCTACCTGATACTCAGTTAGTCAGTTGTTGCCTGAAGCAAGAGTGCTTTGGCGCTGCATATGTCCTTTGCGCCATTATACATAATTATTGAAATATATTGAAACACACTGAAAAATAATATTCTTTATAGTAGAAACCAAGTATGGAACAATGTGTAAGGCAGCAATATTATACAGCTGAAATAAAGCAAGGAAGAATGCAGAAAGCACAGTGAAGCCATCATGGTCATTGATAATTACAGCCTGTTTTCTCAACAGGATGAACAGTGTTCTAATTATTCCATTCGCATTAATCATATTATCATCACTTATGCTATGATACTCCAGGGCAGTTTTATTGAACTGGGCTCCGGCTGTCTCCATATTATCCTTAATTGCGAGGTATCATTGGTAATTTACCTCCCCACATGTTGCAGTATTGTGCTGCGTCACGTTCTAATAGGCTAATGCATATCTTCACCAATTACTGGTCGTTATCGATTGCAACCACGAAATGAACAAATATCCTACAACGGCCAATCTAGATATTTATTTTCAATTTGGGCAATAGGGGCTCTGATTCCTAAACTGATCAATCGCCACTTTACAATTAATGCTCTTACGATTAATGTAGAACCTGAACCACTGGAAGTGAAGCGCCAGCAGACAGAACTACGATATGACAGCACTCTAGCCAATTTGCTTTGAGTAAGGTAAGATTTGTTTTAGGTATAGCATTGGCGTGACTTCGTGTCAGGAAATCCCATTTCCAAAGTTTTATTCGTAAGTGCACGCGTTCAATTTTTATTGATCATCTGCAACATGATGTAATGCATGTTCGTAAAGAGTGCTGAATCCGCGAACTGTTTTATCAAATTGATAACTTGATAGTGTGGTCCAACAATGAATAGGCCTATAGGTTACATGCTGGACAGGTAAAATGCACAAAAATTGATTTTGAAAGACAATATATTTAAAACTCCCACCAGAGAGAGAGAGAAATATATATCATAGACATGTAGAAATGAAGCTGACACGGGGTCCTCACACGACCCATTATTCTTTGTGTTCACATTCTTTACTAACACCACACACGCAAATTTCAATCAGTGTTATAATCAGTCTTTGAAAAATGTCACAATAGTACAACCTGCCACGCCTCCGGAACATGTAACTAAAATGTATCTGTCATTTCCATTTAGATACGTCCAATTACAAATCAAGGCGATTAACTGCAGACTAGCCATGGATGCATCAAATCCAGGTAGACAAGCTCTACTGCCAAAGCCGAAGGACGGAATCAAGAAGAAGTTTGTTATATCAGCGATGATCGTTTCCAACTTTATTGCCTGGTCATGTTTATCGTTGATGGCTCCATTTTTTCCAATCGAGGTATGTATAACACTGAACAGGTGAGGCAGATGACTACAACGCACAGATATATATCTTACATTTGTTGGCAAACGTCACTCAAAGACAACGCAGAAGCTATGACATTATTTACAAACTTTTAACTATTTTGTGGTACAATTGCATATCTACGTGATATAAAACACCTGATTAGGATATTTAAGCAGCATCTTAGGCTATAAAGGAATTGAACATATGCTATATTTGGGATTACACTTTCTTAGTAAAGTACAGCTTCTTGTACTTTTGTTGTGATGAGTTCCATCCGGGATTCGAACCCACACCCTCAGAGTCAGGCACCTAATCGCCAGCACACAAAGCCAGCCGCCTAACCCGCTCAGCCACCCCCACTTCGTGGAAGTGCGGGTTCGAATGCCGCATGGGACTCAACGCAACAAAAGTACAAGAATCTGTACTTTACTAAGAACGTGTAATCCCAAATATAACATATGTTACATTTGACCACTTTCTAAATGGCATTGTATAATTATAAAGGAATTGTTGTGATCTATATGGTTAACTTACTTTAATATTATTGCGAATTATTCTGCATTGTATCTTTAGCATTGGCACGGTGAAATTCGAAATACCATACATACGAAAAAATTGGGATTTTGGCCTACCAGCAGCGGAATATGTACCACGGAGCCATTTATTACCATTTAGATAGATTAGAAGACTTTCGACTGGTTGCATATGAGAGCGCACTTCAAAGTTTTAGGTATAGTATGAATCCATCTTACCCTGTTCAAACGAGTAGAATGGACGACCTTGAACTTTGCAATTGGTGACCATTGACACTGACATCCAAGTCACTTGGAGAATTCAACTATTGTTATCACGAACAGATCTTTTTATCATTTTTTAAGAATATGTTATTTATGTATCAAGTGAAAATAGTGATTGAGTAACTATGATTTTACGCCGCTTTTAGCAATATTCCACTAATATCACGCCGGGGGACACCGGAAATGGGCTTCACACATTGTGCCAATGTTGGGGATGAACCCGGGTCTTCAGCGTGACGAACGGACGCTTTAACCACTAGGCTACCCTATCGCCCCATCAAGTGAAATAGATTGGACATGAAGATATATTCTAAAGGGTAGTTTATTAAGTCAAGAAGAATTATGGCCCTTTGAATATCCACCGATAATGTTCGTCTGCGACAAAAAACCATAGCGAAACGCAGCAGGAATAGAGGTGAGGTGAGGTGAAATTGGGTTTAACGTCGTGCTTGAGAATATTTCGCTCATATGACGACGTGCATGCATGTGTATGTGTATGTGCGGCTGCTTGTACTAGCCCAGACTTAAGCTGGTTTTATATTGCTAGCCCACTGAGATACCATACCGCAGTGAAGCATGAATACCCCACTCAGACACATTATACTGACTCCGAGCCGAACAGTCCTTGTTGTACCCATTAATGCCGAGCGCCAGGCAGGGACCAACAAGTACCATATTTTAACGTCTTTTGGTATGACGCGGTCGGGGATAGCAGGTATAGAAGAGAAAAGGGTGAGAAAAGTTCCGGGAAACACACAAAAAGCACCTAAAAGTATAAATTAAGTAAATTAAGAAATTTAATGACAAGGACGCGAGATGCTTTGGGAGGTGAAGCTGATTTGAAGAGCATCAAGATAAGGCCGTCCGTATTTTTTCCTGTGTTTCTCATCTCCCGACCGACCTAAATTTTCCTTCCGACGGAACAAAAACAAAAAATAGATTATATTTACAAAATTTACGTGTTACTAAACACTTTTAACACAGTTAACCAGTACAGCCTTCACCATCACCGTAACGTTCTCGCTAGTGCATATGGACAGTACATCGTTTCCCTTGACCGATGATATATCAAGTGTGGTATCCTGAAATATTTGTTCCGTCATTCCATGATATACCGGGGATAGCCATGACTGCTTATATTGCATTAATGAATCGCGAAATGGCCATTCGAGGCGAGGCGGTGGAATCAGCTGATCGGGGTTTTTTTCAGGTCATGTTTTGTCGTTTTGTTGACGTTTTGCAATCGGTAATTTAAGTCTGGCACTAGATGTATGAATAGCACACTTATAAGCTTGCAGTGTATTTTCATTGCATCTGCACTCAAACCTATATCGTATTAAGCCGATTAGGCTACATTCAGTCAATGCGGTGCGCGAAATGTGAAAGCATTGTTAAATTTGTGAATTTCGTGGTGAATTGTATCTGATATTTTTGTATGATGGTGCGTGTGTACTTTTATATTACATTACACATGCATGACTTTATTCAGTCATAGTACATAAGTATTATCTGTTAAATCTGTAAAATATAAATAATAATGCATACACATATCTACATGGAATAATTGTGGGGTTAAATTTAAATTTATGTCATCAAAAACATATTGATTATAAAGTTTATACATTTTCTATGTTAATTCCTAACAAACAGACATGTCGCTAAAGTTTTCTTCAGAACTGTTGAATGGAAATCAGAATATAAACCTTGAACTAGATAGTACATGGTTAAATAGTGTTAAACTTATGTTATAAATGCATCAATAAATTAACATATATAATGACTCACAGCACTCACTGATGGGCACATTTTATAAGGGCTAAATCTTTTATTTCAAACTATGATGACTGGTATTTATGCTGCAACGACTTATTGGATAATAGGTGCATGGTACATTAAGTATGCATCAGAAACAAGGTGTCAGAATTTAAAAACAAAATGAAATGTGTGAGGAACTGCTGATCAAAACGTACTATTCATATTTATAATTAAAGGTTACATTCTACACGGAATTTCGTCAAATGTCAGGGGGGTGTAATTATTACAAATTTGCGATAAAGGCCTTCCAGGGGATACAGGTCCGCTGTTTGGAGATGTATATCTGATTCTTTCTACATTGAGGTCGGTGGTAGTATGAGAACTATTTGTCTAATTTGAATACGGCAATAGTTGAGGAATTGCCGTCGGGCTGATATATAAAGTGAGTTTTCATTATTTCATGGATACTATGACACCCGAGATTTACACTGTCTCGTGTTCTGTCGTAGGACATGCCGTGACAATATACCGATTTTTCATGGCGTTTTCTGTCATCAGCGTAAAAAGAAGATGGCAAACTACTTTTTTTTGCTTATTTTTATTTCGCCCGCCCGCCCCTCATCACCACCAGTTTTGAGATGAGAAGCATAAAAAAAATGTGGATGGCCTAACCATACCTCCATCTATTACAGAATTGCTTCTAATTGTAAATTGAATTGAACTGAAAGTGTATCCATTTATTAACGTTTTTGATCAGTAAAAGCACAGAATGTGTTTAAATTAGAGATTTATAGAAAACTCGATTCCCGCATTAAAGCGGGACAATTATTTCGAATTACCCGCATGGTCACGTGGCTCCAGCTATGTTCATTGGTCATTTGGAATTGCCAAAATACAAAAAGACTAAGTATCATTTGCTGAAAGTTCATTTTGAATAGGGCGGTGGGGTAGCCTAGTGGTCAAAGCGTTCGCTCGTCACGCCGAAGACCCGGGTTCGATTCCCCACATGGGTACAATGTGTGAAGCCCATTTCTGGTGTCCCCCGTCGTGATATTGCTGGAATATTGCTAAAAGCGGCGTAAAACTAAACTCACTCACTCATTTTGAATATTCCAAGGGTATATATAGAGAGAAATTTCAATTGAGAGACAAATTCAGCCTGATTAAGAGATTGGGGGCGCAACAATAACTTGTTGCTCTTGTATATCATTGAACTGTTTGAGAGGCATTCTAGAAGTTGTGAGCAACTTTTTTATTGTACAATAGCGACGTTTCGGTATAGATACCTATACCGTTTTCAGACCTCATGCTTCAGACCTCACGGTGTAAGTATATATACCGAAACGTCGCTATTGTACAATAAAGAAGATGATCATCCATGAAGACTTGTCATTCCTATTGTAAATCATTGACCACGTGGGAGTTCAGTGTTGGAGTTGGTCTTGGTCATTTAATGACAGGCACGATGACCGCTTATAGCCTGTCATTTTGCTTCGACAGCGAGGGCCGTTGCTGACAATATCAATCACTGGATTTTTTGGTCCCGACTAGGTCTTTTTCAAACAAGGTTCAGCTGAACTCTGATAGGCTGAGTCTGCTTACAAGCAAAACCTTGTTTTATACAAGACTTATGTAGTTTATGTTAAGTTATATTGACAGAAAGGAGATACGAAACCGGTAAACAACAAATAGATTCAGTCATGTATTTCATTGTGACAATTATTATATTCTTTCTTAAGGAACACACATTCATATGATTATATATAACGTGATATGCATGCTAATCTGCGTATTTCCAGGCCAAGCAGAAAGGATTAGGGGAAACTGTCATAGGGCTAATCTACAGTAGCTCGGAATTGGTGATCTTCTTGATGTCCCCGCTGATGGGACGTTTGGTAAGTCGGATGCGTCTTCAAGCTCAGCAGTCATTCCCGGTTGTGATTAGCAACATATACCCTTCAGTTCAACTTTGAAGAAAAAAAGCCAATAGGCCTACCATGCGTCTAACTGTGCTTGGTGCTTCTCGTTTGAGAAAACACATGACATACTAACAGAAAGTCCCATTCGTCCAGCTGCTTTAATAACTCTCTTTATAAGGAAATCCGGTTTGAAAACCTCGCTTCTCATATGAATCACATGGTCAGTGCAATATAACTTTGAACAAAATGAAGAGAATGTGTCTCAAACTACACTAATGAACATGTTGTTGTTTTGTGGTAGTGTTTGGAAACATTGATCAATAGTGTTACATTTGGACAACATTAAAAAGAGGAAAATTACGTTTCGTCATAATCAATGGTGAGCCATTTTAAATATTGAATGTATAACGTTATACTAAAAGGCTAACACATTCGTTTGATATTTTGTTATGTGGTTAATTCATGAAGAAGTATTTTGTTGGTTCGCAGTTTCCCTTAAGATACCAAATGAACAAAATTGTCGCAATGTGCTTTTTCGGAGAGACTTCCCTGAAATGTTTAACGCATAACAAAATTAAACAGTGTCTGCACTTGTATTTACACCATTAAATAGAAAATTAAACATTTTTAAAGCTGTTCAATTTTTATAGTCGTAGGTAGATCCAGTATTGTTTTTACAGATCTTATGAAAATGTGAAGAACAACGGGGAAAATATATGGATATGCAACTTAATTATTATTAATGTAAGCGGCGTTTCAGTGGAGATGCTAACATCTTAATCAAGCAAGTGTAGATGAGCTTCAGAACAGGAACTCGGCATCCACGGGTTTAAGCTTTCCATAGAAGGGCGTGGTGTGCTGGTTACAGGTAGACGGTACAGGTGGACATTTCTAGACACATTATCTAAAATTCAAGTGTATATTGACCCGGAGAGTTAGATATAGTTCTGGTAGTGTTTTCGTATACAATGTATATATTAGGGAAACTAATTTTGCGTCAGCTGTCTCACATTACATCTTATGTATTGATTTAGTTATTTTGAGTTATTGTGTTTCATATGTAGCCGCCGATAAACATGGATGCAGTTTGTTACTATAACAAATGACATTCACAACTCTTACATGAATAATTAACCTTGGACTCTATACACATTATTTCTTTGCCGCCATATAGCTGCAATATTGCTGAGTGTGGCGTAAAACTCACTGACTGACTCATTGTTTATTTCTTCAGATTTCTACAGTCAGTCCACGTTTCTTCTACATTACCGGTATTTTGGTGATTGGCGTGACAGGGATTCTCTTTGGGTGAGTTGCTGTACATGGGCAGTAATGTAGGTCAACGACACACAAAACAAACTATAAAACTGGTCTTTCCAAACTATTTACAGTACCAACGTAGTGTACAGAGCATATGAGTGTTTATCAACAATTTCTGATTATCACCGAGACGTATTCAGGGCAGAAACTGTATTTTGATTTCTTGTCTTAAAGACGTCTCAACATGGTCACCATCCAGAGTTACACATGTCTCCCAGCATCTCTTGACCTTGCGTAGACCGCCTGAATAGAAACCCCCTAGTATCATTTACAACCAACCTTCCACCTCTTGAATGACATCATTGGTATCGTCAAAATGGGGTCCACTTCTTGGCTCATTTGTGAGGGACATATGGCCGGCTTGAAAATACCTTTTCCATCTCACAACATTGTCATAAGATGGGCTATCTTCACCATAAACAGATTTCATCTGAACGTGAATCTGTCGGGCATTGCAACCCTTCAAGTGCAAAAACGTGATAACACTGCGCTTCTCGATCTTATCTATACTTTGGTTACTCGTGTTTAGGATCAATTAGCACAAGGTTGAAAAAGTGAAGTAAATAGTTTTGGGTCCATTACTAGATAAGGATCACTGAAGTGAGCTTTACATTTTCATCATAATGTCTCAATAAATTCATGGCGATGATTATAACGTTTTATATCCCCTCGTATTTAAGGAACACAGAGCATAGTTTCGTTAAAAATTGGAGAAAGATTTTCAAAGATAATGTCAAAGATAATTGGGATGATAAACTATTAAAACATCTTTTGAAATACATGAGCACCCGCTACTATCGATGCGAACATGACATTGTATAAAGGTATTCAGTTATTTAAACACCGACACATTGTTTCTCCCTTTGTGATGAAACATTTGGATAATGTAACCAGACAAAGTTTATGTGATTGCTATTTACCAATCATACAAAGGGTAACATTTTGTGAGTCACTATGTGGGTTATTACATATTCATTTGCTTTTTGTCTTCCTAAACTTCAGGGTGTTGGACAAGTCTCCACCATACGTTCCCTTCATCGCCACCTGTTTTGCTGTCAGGATGATTCAAGCAACGGGAGTCGCGTCATTGATATCTGCATCTTTCATGATAGCAGGCCAAAACTATCCCGATAACATAGGGACTATATATGTAAGACCTGGAAGACATTACCAGATTTAAATCTCTTAATTGGGGAATTTGTTTTACGACATGTTTTTTTAATATTTGTTTTATCGGGCAGCTTAGGGGGATTAACAGTTATGCTTGATTGATTGTACAAATACTGTTCTTCCCTGTGAGATATGATCCGGCCAGCTGGAGGATTAGTGACCACAGTTCACTAAAAATTAGCTGGTTGGCAAGTGAAACTTATAGGATCACATATCTCTCTCACTTCACTGTCATTCTAGGCATTTGATTTGCTGATCGTGAACTTTGGTCTTCACTAGACTGCTCTCCCTACATTCGCTCCCACACAATTCAACAATGCCCATTGATTCACAGATGAAATGAAACCTTAAAAAATTACAATCCTCTTGGTATCCCATCAAAAGCGGATAGTAGCATCGCTAAACCTGGAAGATGTATAATATGATCGTGAAATTCCTGCATCTCCAGGGTATTTTGGAGACGGCGGTTGGCCTAGGCTTTATGGCAGGGCCAGCGATGGGCGGAGGATTGTACCAGGTAAGCAATACTCTCAGTAACTACATATTATCAATCATCAACCTCTGACGTGTATTGAGGGGCGCTGGGTTAGCCTAGTGGTTAAAGTGTTCGCTCGTCACGCCGAACACCCGGGTTCGATTCCTCACATGGGTACAATGTGTGAAGCCCATTTCTTGTGTCCCCGGCCGTGGCATTGCTGGAATATTGCTAAAACCGCGGTAAAACTAAACTCACTCACTCTGACGTGTATGGCTTGTTTATGCAAATCCATGGAATAAAACATGTCCACATTGAATGACACTTTGAAGTTGAAGGTATTGTATGGTACAGTGGACCTTTCGTGTCCACGAACTTCGGAAATTCTATAATTAAGGTTTCAAAATTGTCACCGCGTCCAGCTGTTACCTTTCACTCTGGTCAATAATATCAAATATACTTCTAAAGATAGACATTAAAGAGACTTAGCATGCATTTACATGTTAATATGAGCATTTTATGAGCATTTTCACTTTCCGGTCAAGGACTATATTATCGTAAAGATTGTACGCGAATCTTTGAATAGTACTAACAAACCGACACTTGATTGTATCATGTCTAGACAAGACAGGAGTAATAGTCGATGGTTTTCTCCAGCTCCGTCAAAGGCATCATCAATAATAATGAAATGATATTTATACAAACTTATTTTGGGCGATATGTCTTTATATGAGAGACTGTAATTGCTTATCCTTGTAACTACAACAGTTTCTCTCACCGAAGATTAGCTGTAAACAAACCAAGGTAAAAAATTATGCATGATTCAAATGTTCTAAGCTTCAATGTCAAATTTCAAGGAGACAGGATACCACTGTCAGCGTTTCACAGGCACACCTGCTATCATCACAGGTACAGCTTAGAAATAGCTTAATCAGTGACAACACCTTGGCAAACCCATGCTTATGACAATTAGAATCGTAGGTTACAGAACAGATAGCTGTGGTTGGTGTCTTTGTTTGTTGTTTACGCCGACTCAATAATGTTCCAGCTTTTTGCCGGCGGTCTGTGAATAATCGAGCCTGGACCGGGCCACACCATCCAGTGATCGACAGCATGGTCATCTATGCGAACATGACATGGCATAAATGTATTTAGCTATTTGAACACCGACACATTGGGATACGATGACTTCCGATCCCCTTATTATCTTCTTTCGAGAAGCATAGGTTTCTGAAGATGAATTCTAACCCGGACCTTCACGATAGCTGTGATATGGCAATGACATTTTGTTTTGTTTCAGTTAGGTGGATACGGTCTTCCATTCTGGGTTCTTGGTGGCTGCACATTTGCTTGCGGACTAGCATCCTGGATTCTGTTGCCAACTAAACAGAGTGAGTACTTAAGTAAAAGTATTTCTTTTCAGCATCAACAGATTCAGTTTCTTATAATTTGTGTCTGTTGTGTAACCGTGCACTCAGCAATATCAGGGTCGGTAGGGTAGCCTTGTGGTTACCCTCGTCACGCCGAATACCCAGGTTCGATTCCCAATATGGGTACAATGTGCAAAGCCCATTTCTGGCGTCCCCCTCCGTGATACTTCTGGAATGTTGCTTAAAGCGGCGTAAAACTCAAGTTACACACTCACACAGAGACAGTGACGGAAGCATTTAGCCAAGTCACTGAGTATTTAATAAGCATTAATGGGTATTCCCCTGCAGGGACGGGTCTGATATATACCTACATACCAACTCACACAGAAATATCATAGGTAACGGTAGCAGGTAATTTGATAAGTGTGGACCAGACAGTAACTGACAACTTAAACAAAGGCCCCGCTTTCGGGGAACGATGACACGCGGTTATGGCCTTACACTGGCCGGGTTAGAACTGATCTTCAGTAACCCATGCTTGTCGTAAGAGGCGAGTAACGGGATCGGGTGGTCAGGCTTACTGACTTGGTTGACACATGTCATCGTATCCCAAATGCGTAGATCGATGTTCATGTTGTTGATCACTGGATCGTCTGGCGCAGACTCGATTATTGACAGACCGCCGTCTGATAGATGTAATATTTCTGAGTGCGGCGTAAAACTAAACTCACTCACTCTGTCATTGGCATAAATGCATATTGCTTGGATTTGTTATAACCCGAAATCCCTTTAGGGCGGCTAAATGTATATCGATCACGACTAGGATAAATTAGTGGAAAAGTAAGCGGAATAATTCTTCATTAACGATGTGAAGATGTCATGTTGATTATAATATTGAACAGAAACTTTGGATGACGTAAATGATGTCAACGATGTGCAGTGTTTTTCAAAACTAGGTGGCAGAACAGTAGTAAGTTGACCGAGCATGTGTTTATGAATCGTTATCAAATAGTAATGATACCACGTGTTCACGAAAAGGATAAACAAAGGATCGGGAATCGATTACACAAGACAAAATAGGAATTGCAACGGCCCTTCACGTGTCTACCCTAAAATTTTACTGAGAGCTTGACTGTTGTAAGTATGTATGTAATATTTGGGTGTACACTTTGTCTAGTACTGTACTTTTGTTGGGTTAAGTCCCATCCGGGATTCGAACCCACACCCTCAGAAACAGGCACCTAATCTCCAGCACACAAAGTCAGTCGTCTAACCCATTCTGCCACAGCCGCTTCCACAAAAAGTAGTCCAGAACCCCGACTTTGTGTACCCCTCTGCTAAGTGTAAATTGACTCAGCTCGAAAATTGACACGGCCGATAGCTGTGAATACGCAATACCATTTAGAAAGTGATCAAATGTAACGTTTGTTACATTTGGGATTACACATTCTCAACTTGTTGGGTTGAGTTGTAAACAAGTCACCGAACATGACCACCATGGGTTGTAGAGGTCTTTTGCCAGCCTGTTTGTCGAACGTGGATAATACATGAGGTGTAACATCTATTTGAGAAAGAAATAACTGAACGAGCATAGGCGTAATCATGTGTTTGGTATATCTCACCATTGTTAATATGAATGCTTACATTCCAGCGTCATGATAAGGTGACAAGTGTTCATCTTCTGGTTCTGTGAGTACTGAAGTTCAGTCTGTCTACTTCACAAGTCCATGGGTCTGTAGAGTACTTAAGTGTTCCTGTACTTAGTATGACATTTAATATGTATATAGGAAAACAGGAATGCAGTGCCACTGATGATAAAGTTCAGTCTGTCTGGACCATCTTCACAAGTCCATGGGTCTGGTTTGGAAGCTGTACGAACATCTGTGCTTATGGCTCGGCCTTAATATGGATGCCTGTGTTATCGCTGCGCTTAAGCGAGGTATGATGCTATAGCTGCACATAAAGGAGGTCTGGTATCGCTGCACTTAAAGGAGGTATGGTATTGCTGCACTTATGGTGTTAACTTAAACAAGGTATGATGTTATTGCTGCACTTAAAGGAGGTATGGTATCGCTGCACTTAAAGGAGGTATGGTATTGCTGCACTTAAACAAGGTATGGTATCGCTGCACTTAAACAAGGTATGATGTTATCGCTGCACTTAAAGGAGGTATGGTATCGCTGCACTTAAAGGAGGTATTGTATTGCTGCACTTAAACAAGGCATGGTGTTATCGCTGCATTTGAAGGAGGTATGGTGTTATTGCTGCACTTAAAGGAGGTATTGTATTGCTGCACTTAAACAAGGCATGGTGTTATCGCTGCACTTAAAGGAGGTATGGTATCGCTGCACTTAAAGGAGGTATTGTATTGCTGCACTTAAACAAGGCATGGTGTTATCGCTGCACTTAAAGGAGGTATGGTGTTATTGCTGCACTTAAAGGAGGTATTGTTATAAACAAGGCATGGTGTTATCGCTGCACTTAAAGGAGGTATGATGGTATTGCTGCATTTAAAGGAGGTGTGATGTTATCGCTGCACTTAAAGGAGGTATGGTATTGCTGTACTTAAACAAGGTATGATGTTATCGCTGCACTTAAAGGAGGTATGGTGTCGCTATTGCTGTTGCTGCCCTTAAACAAGGTATGATGTTATCGCTGCACTTAAAGGAGGTATGGTATGCACTTAAAGGAGGTGTTGTGTTACAAGGCTGTTACTTGAAGGAGGTAGGTATAAACAAGGCATGGTGTTATCGCTGCACTTAAAGGAGGGTGTTATCGTATTGCTGCACTTAAACAAAAGGATTTGGTATGGTGTTATTGCTGCACTTAAAGGAGGTATTGTATTTGTATTGCTGCACTTAAACAAGGCATGGTGTTATCGCTGCATTTAAAGGAGGTATGGTGTTATTGCTGCACTTAAAGGAGGTATTGTATTGCTGCACTTAAACAAGGCATGGTGTTATTGCTGCACTTAAAAGAGGTATGGTATCGCTGCACTTAAAGGAGGTATTGTATTGATGCACTTAAACAAGGCATGGTGTTATCGCTGCATTTGAAGGAGGTATGGTGTTATTGCTGCACTTAAACAAGGCATGGTGTTATCGCTGCACTTAAAGGAGGTATGGTATCGCTGCACTTAAAGGAGGTGTTGTATTGCTGCACTTAAACAAGGCATGGTGTTATCGCTGCATTTGAAGGAGGTATGGTGTTATTGCTGCACTTAAAGGAGGTATTGTATTGCTGCACTTAAACAAGGCATGGTGTTATCGCTGCACTTAAAGGAGGCATGGTATCGCTGCACTTAAAGGAGGTATTGTATTGCTGCACTTAAACAAGGCATGGTGTTATCGCTGCACTTAAAGGAGGTATGGTATCGCTGCACTTAAAGGAGGTATGGTGTTATCGTTGCATTTGAAGAAGACATGGTGTTGTCACTGCATTTGCGGAGGTATGATATCGCTGCACTTAAGGAGGTATGGTGTTATCGCTGCTTTCGAATGCTAAAATCAAGGTTGTCCCTGTTTTTAACTTCGGAATAGTGTTGGAAGCTGACAGAATCAGGTATTTTCAGAAAGAAATCCAATCAGTATTTACGCCAATACTGATATCCATTCAGCACAAACTATTGCTCTGAGAGTGACCATATTTGGTGCGCTGGTACAACATAGCGAATACACCGAACGTATACTGAACACAAATGGCGACCGAGCACAACTTTCATAACCATAGCCCCTAAAATGTTTTTTTTTGTTCAGTACATTTACAAATGGCAGCGCCACGTAGTGTTTGCAAACCTATTACAGGTTTCAAAGATCACATTAGAATTTGGATTACAAATAATACATGGTTTCGAAAATTAGGGGTGGGTATTGCAGAGAATTTTCATATTGCGATATATTGCGATGCGGAAGCATATATTGCGATATGTATTGCAATATATTGCAAGGATTATTTTTTTAACAAAAACTACTTATAATCGAGTTAATACTTGATTATAAAGGAAAAACACAACAAAATCACTATGATTGATAAACCTTTTATAAAAACTATTAATCATGACAAAACCAAAATGTAAGTAACATTTGGCACTTTTGAAACAGGCAAAAGAACGATTAAAAAAACGGAAATATCCGAGATTTCCGAGTGTTACGAAGTTTTCCGAATGCACGTCAAAATACCGGTTTTCGATCAGCGTATAGCAATACGTATCGTTTTCATGTCTGAACCGGTAAATACCGGTAAAACGGTTATATTGCGCAGCCCTATCGAAAATGATGGACAAACTAGTTTGTAATCGTGAAAATGTGCTGGACATTTGAGCATAATGTGTTGTGAGTTTTTTTTCATTAATCTGTCTAATGAAAAGAATCGCTACATGGCTGTAATATTGCCGACGCGATGTAAAATTTTAACTCAATCACTCACTAATGAAAAGAACAACCGCATATTTCACACTGTGTCGTATTTCTGTTACAGTTTCATCTAAGCCAGGTTGCAATCGGTCTATTGTACACTATCCCTCCAGGGATGTACGCCATTACGACTCCCTTTTGGGGGTATCTTATTGACAGGAAGGTATGTTCAAACAGCTACAGTAAGTGACAGGTATTCTCCCGCTTAACATTTATGCTGCATTTAGATCCGTGAAGGTCAGTGTTAGAAAACAATTATTGACCTGGTTGACACATGTCATCGTATCCCAGTTCCGTAGATCGATGCTCTTGCTGTTGATCACTGGATTGTCTGATCCAGACTCGATTATTTACAGACCGACGCTATATAGCTGAAATATCAATGAATTAATCCGCGTCAAGAACAAGGTTCTTCAAACGGAATGGTCTTTGATACTTTGAAATGGATGGTGTAAAAAACAATTTCACGGTCCACATATATAACTTGCTAGGCTTAAACAATGACCCGCTTCTTGCGTCGGCGTCCCGCTATATGCCGCCCACTTGTCAATTACCAAGAAATAATCGTTTTCAAATGCCTGCGTCATGACTTTGGTATGTATGACAGACACCTGGTATTGCATTGAAGAGGTGGGATTTATGTGTAGTTGTGGGTTTTTTGTGTGTCGCTTTTTTATGTTTGGGAAAAAATCCCCAAAGTGTTCGTGTCTCATCACTTTTGTTTTCTAGATAGATAATCGGGTTTTTAATATGTGACCAAGACACGTTTTATAAGGCCTAACCATTTAAGAAGTTCTAAAAGGTTAAAGCACAATTTCACACATTTTCGACAATATTTTGGCCTATATTTTATATATTGGGGCATATGCACCCACTTTAGTTTCCTATTGAATCAATAAAAGTCTTGTAAACAATTACTCCGTACATCGAAAACTGTCGTACGTACTGATTTCAATCACAAGTTGCGCGTATGTTTTTGCGCCTGACATGAGCGTCTTTTTGTCGAGGACTGAGTTCTGGCTCCAAAGGAGATAAAGACTACTATTTGTAACGAGTCCTCCAAGGGACAACTCTATGGAACTCTTGAAAATACTGTTCGGCCGGTAGAGGGAGTGATAGTCAATTTAATGCAACGTTGCATTAATTTATTCGAACTTTTTAATTTAACATTGAATGCAATCTCAATGCGTACTTTTTAGGGGGGGATAAATGATATGGTAGCTTGCCGGAGGACTGATAGTATGTATTATTGAGAGATATGCATCATTTACTTTTAGAGAAGTGTGGGGTGAAATTTAGTGCCTTTAACTGTATGTTTATTTGAAAGGTACGTATGTGACAACCAATCTCAAACAAAGAATCCCCACGGTGATGAAGTTATGAGCGACCCATGTCAGAATCATTTTTTGATCAGTGTTCTCTGCTTTTTTATAGGATGATAAAAATCTTGATCTGATAAATACCCAAGTACATGTACTTCAATTATATTACCACTTACTTTCACCCACTGATTTGTTAAACCACTATGATGACGCACACATGCCACTGGACTATCGTGAGTGATGGTTAGTTGAAGATCAGGCCTTCCGAAACCAACCGCCTCCGTGGTGTAGTGGTTAGAGCGTCTGCCCGGAGAGCGGAAGGTCGCGGGTTCGATCCCCGACCGCGTCATACCAAAAGATGTTAAAATATGGTACTTGTTGGTCCCTGCCTGGCGCTCGGCATTAATGGGTACAACAAGGACTGGTCGGCTCGGAGTCAGTATAATGTGTCTGAGTGGGGTATTCATGCTTCACTGCGGCATGGTATCTCAGTGGGCTAGCACTATAAAACCAGCTTAAGTCTGGGCTAGTACAAGCAGCCGCATACACACATACACACGCATGCACGTCGTCATATGAGCGAAATATTCTCAAGTAAGACGTAAAACCCAATTTCACCTCACCTTACCTTCCGAAACCATCACTGAGCCAAAACAGAAGCCTCACCTCATGAGGGGCTCATCTCCCCAAACAGGACTGGCTATGGGAGAAGGTCACGTCGAACATGGTGTGACCCAAGTGCTTTTGTTTGTTGGTAGCTTAACGTCGCTTTCAGGATTATTCCTGCTATGTGGCGGCGGTCTGGGCCAAACAATCCAGTGTCCAAAACGACGCAGTTGTGTGTGAATGTATCAGTGTGATCCAGCCTGTCATGTTTCTCCTCCGTCGGGGGCGGTGGGGTAGCCTAGTGGTTAAAGCGTTCGATCGTCACGTTCGATTCCCCACATGGGTACATCGTGTGAAGCCCATTTCTGGTGTCCCTCGCCGTGATATTGCTGGAATATTGCTAAAAGTGGCGTAAAACTAAATTCACAAACTCACACTCACTCTCCTCCGCCGGTGTTATTACAATTTGTAAACCTAAAGTCACTGTGTTCTTTAATCTGATTGGTTGAAAAACGTGATCAAATGGTATTCGATTCCCGGAAATTCGCTGCGTATTAATACATAAAAACATCGCTCACACCATTGCATTGTTACGTCGTCAGCTGAGATGACGTCATTCAAATCATATTGTGACGTAAAGTCCGAATGACGTCACAAATGAGCAGTTCTAGATGCTACCATGGGAGACAGCCGAAACGGCCGGCTGATGACATTACACTGCTGTACCCGTACTCGATGTCAATGAGTGCAGACACAAAAACGTGTGTGGACCTTTTGGTTTACTTTTGTGTTTACAATGTCGATATACATCATGTGTTGGCCAATTTCCGGGTGTTATTGAGTATTTGAATAAGAAAGTTAACACATCACCATAACACCATATGTTTACCCTTTTCAGATTCCACCCATCGTCTTGATACTCGTCGGCCTTATTCTTCTTTCGATTATGTGCTTGGTGTTTGGACCCGCTCCCTTTTTGCCATTTGTACATAAGTATGTTTGAAATAGATTATATATATCATCAGTGGATTCTCAGTGTCAGAAAAGCTCCGTTTTTAGCAACAAAATATTTCAGGTGTTATATATTTGACCACTTAAAATAATTTTTGCACTGGCGAATTATATAATGAAATTCGACAATAAACTGCGAGTTATATCGGGTATATCATTGTTCATCTATCCTATAATGTATTAAAAGGCATGCTGATAAAAGCGTCATATTTAAACATTGAAATGTAAAACGATGTTGGAAATGGAAAAAATTCTCAAATGACGCGATTGCCTCCTTGATCTAATGATAGTGTCTTGCATCATTTCTTGTTAAGTACCTTTCCCTGTTTAACACATGGGAGACTACAATATGCAACACATCAGAATATTGTTTAAATGGTATTTTGTATTCCATAGTGATATGGTGACATGTATAGTGACCTTAGTGTTGATGGGCTTGTGCATGGGACCGGTGATCATCAGCTCCATCAAGTGCATGGTTGAAGGAGCAAGGTAAGATTCATAGTCAAAGTTCTGTAGTTATTTATTCAATTTACTGTCCATCATTTGAAACAATACTTGCGGATTAGAATCGGTCTTTACCATCCCCTGTTTGTCGAAAGAAGCTAAGAACAGTAGATGTGGTCAATCTCGCTGACTTGGTTCACACATGCCATCGTATCCCAGTTGTGTAGAGCGATGCTCATGATGTTGATCACTGAACTGTCTGGTCCAGACTCGATTATTTACAGACGACTGCCACATAGCTGGAATATCGCTGAGTGCGGAGATAAGCAACGAACAAACAAAACGAACAAAACGCACCCGTTCTTGAGATCTATATGACGTTATGTCGCCGATGTATCCCGGGACAAGAGTTACATGGCGGCATCAACAGGCTATCATCATACGAAGAACTGTCCGCTCCTCAACACATCACTTCAGTAACCTAACTAGCATGTTAACTAAAAAATACACTTCGCTCTACCACCATGTATAGTGTAATAAAACACACTTTTGCCCTGAACTATTATAGTTAGCTTGCGTCCGAGTGCTTTAACGTTATAATAGTTCAGGGCGAAAGTGTGTTTTATTACACTATACATGGTGGTAGGGCGAAGTGTATTTCTTTTCTAAGATGCCAAATTTAATACTTTCTAAAGATAATTACGATTAATTTAAGGCAGAAAACAAACGACGGTGTCGGTGACCTAAATTAAGAATCCTCGCACAGGGCTAACTGGCGCGCTGTTCTATTGATGTGTCTGCCCCCTACGTTAAGACGAACGTTGCCAGAAAAAAACAAATGATAACAGTTTGATGACGGTTTACGTCCGGATTAAATATCTTCTCTGAATTATTTTAATTACATCTGTCATTAACGTAAACCATATGGGGCAATATGAACGTTGCATTTCTACTACCAGCGTAAGTTTAAATCAGTACATCCAGAGGAAGTTGAGTAGTCAAGCGACATTTCACAATTGCATTGTGGGAATGTAAACATTACAAACGTTACCATGTCGCTGAAAACTTGTGAGTCGAAATGACTCATTTTAACCGTCGTAAAACATAAACGTAATGTTTCCACAAGTGATGTTAGCTGCGTGAAGCAACAGCAAACCAAGAAACTGGATGCAACGGTGTAGTTTACTGTAGGTGGCCGTACGAGGCGATGACAACTGACATGCATCGTGACGTCGCTTACATTGTGACGTAATGTAAAATGGTTCGATTACGAGGGGGCACACTAGAATGGCGCAGTGACGGGATAACGTCATTCAATTGTTACGTCATCAAAAAACTATACCTTTATTGTCTGATAATGTATTTTTTTTTCGATTGTTCTAACCGCTAGGCATCTTAGAATGTGATGTAAGATAGTGACCTTAGTTCTTTAAGACTGTAGCCCTGCCAATACTGTTGTTCGTCAATACTGAAGTGTATAATACAGCAGTCCGTTAAAACTGCTTTGATAGTATTTCAAGTCCATGTTTCTAACAGCGATTATTAAATCATAATTTGATTACAGTACCTCTTGGTTACTGTCAGTTGCTTAACGTCACACACAGCAATATTACCGTTGAACTACTTGATTTATGTTCAGAGAGAGTGATGGAAGCATTCATCCATGTCACTAAGAATGGGTTCGAACCTCCAAAAGCATACGCATACGGGGATAGGTCTAATATAAATCTGTAACGGCCATTGGGTAAACATGGAGTCTTATCATGGCCACTCGTTCCAATCGAATCGTCTCGTACAATAAGCAAATGGTGTTGGAGACTATTTCCTATCCGTTTGTCTCCAAGGGAAATGCCAATCCTTCATGTGTTCCAGGGACCTTGGTTTCGTTGCAAATGGTGCCAACTATGGTGTTGTAGGAGGAGTTGTCCAATCCTCAGTTTGCTTGGGGTAAGTTGCTCATGTCAACGTAAAACCATTGATTTTAATCTTAAGTGTGGAGAGATAAGAAATACGCTGAATACACTCTTATCATGTTCTGTTCAATTTTTATAAAGATCATGTACCTTTATATATGAAAACAAAGGCGTTTAAAGTATGATGTACTATGTGTGACCAAGCAAATATGCGGCCACTCTTCAGTAGTGTATGTTTTGGGAAGAGGACAGCATATTTTGTTTAATGTTCACAAAGTTATATCCTCTAAATGTAGGAACTCCTGTAGTTCGATCTTGGTAAACGTGACTGTTGTCTACTGTACGGCGGTAAGTACTGTGTATAGCCAACTTTTATGCTTCAAGCACGCTGATCAGTCCACTGCTAGGAGGTTCCCTCACCGAACGTTTTGGATTTGCCTGGATGATGGTAGCAGGAGCTATCATTGCCTTGATACCGGTAATATGATCATTTCCTATTAGGTATTCTCGATATCTTGAACTATATCTGTTCTTTGACAAAAAAAAATTAATCTATTATTGGTTGTTCAAGATATTATTTTAGTACCTTATAACTGATATATAAAGTAAGCAGACTTTTGTCCAACATGTTCTCATAAAAAATATTTTCCTTTTTGCAGATAGTATTTTTTAGTCCTTTTCTGGTGTACGTTGCTTATGACAAGTGCAAATCAAAGGCTGACAAGAAGAATTATGATACATTGAATGGAGAGGTAATTGCAAACAACGACATTGTCATGACAACGTTAAAGTGATCGGAGTACTATAATCTGAGTCCATATTGCTTACCAGTGACATCTGTACACTGAATGCAACTTACAACAGCTAATACAAGAAACCTTTCCGAATTAACTTTAACTTTCGCCTCGATTATGAACTATGAATATTGTGTTTTGTGTGCTTGTTGTTTAACGCCGCACTCAGCAATATCCCAGCTATATGGCGGCGGTCTGTAAGTAATCGAGTCTGAACCAGACCATCCAGTGATCAATACCATGAGCATCGATCAACGCAACTAGGATACGATTACATATGTCAACCAAGTCAGCGAAGCCTGAACACCCGACCACGTTAGCCGCCTCTTTCGACAAACATGTCTGTCTGAAGACGAATTCTGACAAGGATCTTCACATGTCTGAACACTGTGTAGTCAATGCCATACGCCAGCACACATCGGTGTCATGAAAACAGGATACATCAACGATCTGTCGTCACTTTGGACTTTCCTCGTGTTTGATGATCACGGTACGCACATCGCAAATGACGGTACATGAATCAGCTTAAGGTTGCGACGTTCATCCAGACATAATATGACTCTATTCTCCACCAGATACGGAAGCACCAATAACCGTCCTGGGACTGTGGCCGCGCAACGATATAATGTAGCTTCATACGGTCAAAGAGATATCACGCGTCCTTCCACACTATGGAATTACTATCAGTTAACCCGTGGTGAAAACCAAAGATACACCCCCTTCCGTTCCATATTCTCGAAGCCATCACGGATTTATTTCTCATATTCATACAACAGTAACGTACGAGAAACAATTCCGTGATTTAAAGCCAACCAGTGTTATGTCCGAAGGGGTTATTTTGTTACATATTATTTGCTAAATCGTGGAACAGGTGTAAATAAAGTTTGCAGACACGACGAGATGTGTCTTTATCACGTGATTACAGTCAAATGCATTGTATTGGTGTTTGTTTGCTTGCTGATTGGTGAATTCTTCAAATATTCATCCGAAATCCTCCTCCCTACCTTGACTGACTGACTGACTGGCTGACTGAGTTTGGATTTACGCCGCTTCTAGCAATATTCCAGCAACATCATGGCGGGGGACACCAGAAATGGGCTTCACATATTGTACCCATGTGGGGATTCGAACCCGGGTCTTCAGCGTGACGAGCCAACACTTTAACCACTAGGCTACTCCGCCGCCCCTCCCATACCTTGAAATCCTTTTTAACGTTATGGTTGAAAAGTCTTACTTTCCAGAACAATGGACTTTGGGGATTGTAATTCCCTTGCACAAACAGGGATCAACTTATGACACCAACAATTACAGGGGTATAACTCTTTTGAGTGCTTTCAGTAAGATTTTTACCAGTATTATACACAGACGTTCAGTATTTTTGGCCGATTCCTTAGATAAGATAGATGAAGCACAAGCCGGTTTCAGGCACAGGTACTCTACAACTGATAATGTATTTATTTTGCAGACACTTGTGCAGAAATATTTAGCACATAAGGGAGAAAAAATGTATGCCATATTTGTAGATTTTGCTAAAGCGTTCGACTCCGTTAACAGAAACATGTGAATCTTTGTAAATCTCAAAGCATCGGTACTGAAATTGATAAATTATTATGTTGCATATACCACAACGTGAAGGCTTGTGTTTGAAACAATAACAACCTATCTGATTCCTTCTGCTGTAACATTGGGGTAAGACAAGGATGTATACTAAGTCCATTTCTGTTTTCGTTCTTCATCAATGAACTCTCGCTACAAATATATGAAAACTGTAACGAGGGCATCCAATTACATCCAGAAACTATGAAACTTTTTCTACTCCTTTTTGCTGCTGATATTGTTATGTTCGCGAGCACAGTACCTAGACTTCAAAAGCTAATAAATGAACTTGAGTACTACCGTAAAAAATGGAATTTGAATGTCAATATCGATTAGACAAAGGTCATAGTTTTCAAATATGAGGGAAACTTATCAGAACGGGAAAAAATGCTTTTATAAAGGTGAACGATTGGAGGTGTAAGAAGTTACAAATACTTGGGAGTACTTTTTACAAATCGACTAACTCGGTCATTGTACTGCAACAAAGCCGCACTGCAGGCCAAACACAATTTAATAGGCATTGTAAGAACCCTAAAACCGCTGCCAAACATTAGCTTTGGCACCTTTCTCAAAATCTTCGACACTAAGATTGGTCATATTCTACTCTATGGTGCAGAAATATGGTGTCAAGAAATCTATGAGAAGGTACATCTATATGCGTTTTAGGAGTAAACTCCAACACACCAAATGTTACAATTTATGGGGAATGTGGGAGATACCCTATGTACATATTTAGTTAGATAAAAGTAATTAAATATTGGATAAGATTGCTTAAAATGTCAAAGTACCAGATTCAACAAAAATGTTACAACATGATGATGCTTTACGATGATAGAGGTAAAAATAACTGGACCTCTGATTGCAGAAAGTTAATTCAGTCTTGTGGCTATGATCATATCCGGAGAGAGCAAAATGTAACAGCACCAGAGCATTGTATGTATGATTTAACTCAAAGGCTAAAATATATGTATTTTCAAAAGTGGTACTCTTCACTATGTTTATATAATAAGTTAAACCATTACTTCTGTTTTAAATCATTTATTCTTACAGAAACATATCTTCTAGACATTAATGTTAAGAAATTCCGGACAGCACTAGCCCGTTTCAGATGTAGTTCTCATGATCTTCTAACAGAAAAAGGTAGACATATAGGGATATCAAGGGAAAACCGATTGTGCAAATATTGTACCTATCAGGAGGTAGAAGATTAATACCATTTCTTGCTTGTCCGTCCATTCCACGCGAATAGCAGAAAAGAATACATAAAGAAATATTTCTATTTAAACCCCCGAATAGACACATTCAATACCCTCATGTCATCCCTAAATCAAACAGTCACAACATACCTTGCAATGAATATCAGATCCTCTGCATAACAGATGTGTTATTATTTACGATATATTCATTTCTATTGCACCCCGTACTACTGTACAAATGTACTGTAGGCCTACGGCGTTTTCAGTATTGTAAATAAAGATTAAATGATTGATAGGTGAGATTGTTTGTTGTTTGTTTACTACCAGGCTCAGTAATGTTCCACCTAAGTGGTGGTCGTCTGTAAGCAATCCAGTCTGGACCAGACAATCCAGTATTCAACAGCATGAGCATCGATCTGCGCAATTTTAATACGATGACACGCGTCATCCATGTCCGCGAGCCTGACCACCCGATTCTGTTATTCGCCTCTAACGACAAGCATGAGTTGCTGAAGACCAATTCTAACCCGGGTCACTGTGTAGTGGTTCTATCATTATATAGTCATGAGGTAGAAAAGTGATTCGGGAGCGTCTGAGATGAGGACGACCTTCAGCTGCCACAATTAAGGTCAATGCAGATAGAATACATAGTATAATCATAGATGATTGAGGCCTTACAACACATCAAATGGTTTACTCCCAAAAGTTAGACTTCCCAAAAGTCATACATCCCAATTGTCAGACAAATCAATCAGGCGTGACTGTGATTACAACCTAGTCTTACCCACTGATATAATGATGAGGACCATTTTCAATCTGTGATGCGGGAGCTAGATAACGGTCAATGCTACATAGGTGAAACATCCCGACCCATCAACACCTGAGTCAAAGAACATCGCACCTCTGTTGCTAATTCCGACACCAAGTCAGCTATCTCTGACCACATCAAAGCTAACCCCAATCATCAAATAGAGTGGTCCGACATCACCATTCTCGCCAACAACCAAACGGACTTCACTAAACGCAAGCTCACAGAAGCCATTCACATCAAAACGCCACAAGCCCACCATCAACCGTGACCAAGGATACTTCATTCCATCAGCTTATGATCCACTCCTCCACCAAGCCCAATCTATTGTATAAACATCGCATCTATTGTTGAAACATCTCATTGTAACTACATCTCTGGCTTCCATTCACTATCCTTTGTGTACTCACTGGCTTCTTCAGCTTACTGCTTAGCCAATCATGGCAATTATGTTGTTTCCTTTGTCTATTATGTTGTTTCATTGTTATATACAGTATATATATGCAGCGCTTACACTTCATGTATCACTCTTGCTTGACAACGGTACAAGAATCTGTATCGAAACGTCGCACTCACGAAATAAAGAAGTTGTTATCCATAAAACTTGTTCTATATTGTAGATAACGGTGTCAGACAACAACTATCTTATGACGTCACCACCTTGAATCAGCCAATAACTCGCCAAGAGGTTCTATCTGCTATTACTCGTGCAAAACGTGGTAAAGCTACAGGTGTCGATTGCATTCCTGCGGAGGCGCTAAAAAATAGGTCATGTGTGGATATGTTGTATAGAATATCGTTTAGTTTGACAAAGGTGTTTTGCCCTAATATTTGGCGTGATAATCACACCTCCAAAACCACGTGGTAATTCAGGGATCCTTTAGATTACCGAGGCATTTCCCTAATCAGATTCCTTGTAAAATTTGAGGAGACATATTGAATGCGTTTTCTTCGTAAAGTTTTGGCTGAGGAGCAAAACGGTTTTCGTAAGCATAGGTGTACAGTTGACAGTATTTATACTTTGTTTTCTGTTATAAGCAATAGGAAAATCCAGACAGGTTCAACTTTTGTTTGCTATATTGATGCTATGAAGGCCTTCGATCGTGTGAACAGACATTGTCTTTGGTATAAGCTTGTTAAACTTGGTATTAGTGGCAGTTTCTTTTCTGCAGTGAAATCTTTGTATGATAATACCCAATCCCGTGTTAGTGTTAACGGATATTTATCACAAGATTTCTCCGTAAATAGTGGCGTTAAACAGGGCTGCGTTTTGTCGCCAACATTATTCTCGGTGTTCATAAATGATTTGATGGATGAAATCAATCAGCTGAATTGTGGTATTCAGATCAACGCCAATTCCATGCTCCGTGTTCTTCTTTACGTAGATGATATTGCGCTCATTGCAGGAGACGAAGATTCTTTACAGTCTATGTTAGACTGTGTCAATCAATGGTGCAGAAGATGGCGTTTGCAGATTAATGCTTCGAAGACCAAAATAGTTCATTATAGACCTGTTTCTATGGCAAGGACCGAGTTCAGATTTTTCTTGTGGCATCGATGTATGTAATGCCTATAAATATCTAGGACTGTGGTTACAGGAACACCTTGATCTTAATTTCACTGCAATGGAAATCGCTGGAAGAGCACTGGGTATCTTAATTAGTAAATTCAAAGCAGTTGGTGGGATGCATTATGATGTGTTTAACAAACTTTATGATAACTTAGTTCAACCAATACTGTCGTATGGCTCTGCTGTTTGGGGGGTCACGTGAATTCAGTTGTATAAATGCTATCCAAAATAGGGCATGTCGTTTCTTTTTGGGTGTAGGTCGTAATACCCCGAACTTAGCCGTAAAAGGCGAGATGGGTTGGTTTTCTAACCTCACAAAACATCGTATTGAATCT